TTATGTGCTGAAACTTTATTTTAGTAAATTCTACTCTACTTTTACCATCTGGAGCAACACGATGTACATACACTCTTTCATTCACACAGCAGCATTTTTCCATTTTTAAAAAATGTATAATACTAAATACATGTTTGTTTTTACACTGGTATAAAAAGGGAAGGGGGAACTTTAAACATTTTCAGAGGTAACACAAGTTAGCTAATATCCTGCTCCTAAGCCTGGGCAACATGGTGAAACCCTGTTTCTACAGAAAATTAAAAAATTATTCACTAGGTGTGGTGGCATGTGCCTGTAGTCCCAGGAATGGAGGAGGCTATGATGGGAGGCTTGTTTGAGCCCAGGAAGTCAAGGTTGCAGTAAGCTGAGGCTGTAGGGAGCCACTATCATGCCACTGCACTCCAGCCTGGGTGATGGAGCAAGACGCTGTCTCAAGAAAAAGAATAAAATAATAATAATAATATCCTGTCCTAGATCTTTTCTCACTTGATATACTTGGAGTATCCTTCCATATCATTGCAAAAAAAGAAAAAAAAAATCTCACTTCTTTTACAGCTACATCAGTTTAATGTATAGTTGTATTATAATTTTCTTAACCTATTTCTCACTGATGAATATTTGGTTAAGCTTCAATGGTTTATTATACTAAGCAATGTGTCTCAGCACATTTTTGTTGAATAAAATTCCTTAAAGTGTAACTAATGGGTCAAAAGATATGTACACATTTAATCATTAGCAGATATAACTGAACTAATCCTCCAAAAGAAAATACAACTTTAAGTGCTCATTTTTACCCATCTAAGAAGAAACAAACAAAAAAGGGTCCAGCTGATTTTTAAATTTACATTTCCTTAATAAAAGGACCATTTGTTTTGCTTTCATCTGTGAATTACATATTCATGTCTTCTGCTGTCTTTTTCTATTGTGCTATTGATCTATTTCTATTACATTTGTCTTACAAATTTGTCTTAAAAATAATGATGAGGATAATTTACTACATCTTATGAACTATGCTCTAAAACCCATTAGTTATCAAATACTAAGGACAATTACTTTATCTAGCTATTAATTGTGCTTTTAAAATAAAAAAGCAGAGGACAGGTGCAGTGGCTCACATCTGGAATCCCAGCACTTTGGGAGGCCAAGGTGGGAGGATTTCATGAAACCAGGAGTTTGAGACCAGTCCTGGCAACATGGCAAGATCTCAATTCTACCGAAAAATTTTTTAAAAATTAGCTGGGCGTGGTGATGTGCACCTGTAATCCCAGCTACTCAGGAGGCTGAGGTGGGAGGATCACTTGAGCCCAGGAGTTCAAGGCTGCAGTGAGCCATAGTGGCACCACTGCACTCCAGCCTGGGTGACAGAGTGAGACGCTGTATCAAAACATACTATACAAACAAAAAAAGCAGAATAATTAACTCAGCAAATATAATTTAAGAGTGAGGGATCTGACTATATTTCCCAGGCTGGTCTCAAACTTCTGAGCTCAAGGGATCCTTCCGCTTCGACCTTTCAAGTAACTGGGATTATAGAACTGCGCCATTGTGCCCAGCTAGCAAATATAATTTTAGACTGCAAAGAAGTATTTTAAATACGTTTTAGGACATGCTGTATTGTATTTGCCTTGGAATACCCTAAATTTAATCAAGGTTTTCTAAAGGTAAAAGATTTCTCAGAATCACAGAATTTCAAATACTCAAACACTACTAAATATCTTTACTAAGTAAAACCTTTAAGGCTAATAGGATGCAAGAGAACAACAACAAAACGTCTGTATATGCAACAAAAGTCTATATATGTAAATTCCGGTCATTTGAAATATTCTACCTTTAAGAAATTAACAAATCCCTAAAGTGGATAGGAAGATTGGCAGAAAATTCAAAGGTGTTCTTTCTGTCTACAGGGTATACACAATTCAGTTTCCACTTAAAAACTCAATTACCTTAACAGAATTTAACAGATTTGGCTGTTGCTGAGGAAATTAAATTATATAGTGACATCCCACAAGCCTTGCTATAGGTTGGATTCTAAAGTCAACTGTAGAGTATCACCCCAGTTACTGATTATCAAGTAGAGGTACTTTTGGTGAATCACAGGGATGACTTCTTTGAGACAGAGTCTTGCTCTGTCGCCAGGCTGGAGTGCAGTGGCACGATCTCAGCTCACTGCAACCTTTGACTCCCTGATTCAAGCAATTCTCCTGCCTCAAACTCCTGAGTAGCTGGGATTACAGGCACGCGCCACCACGCCCAGCTAATTTTTGTATTTTTAGTAGAGATGGGGTTTCACCATGTTGACCAGGATGATCTTGATCTCCTGACCTCGTGATCCACCCGCCTCAGCCTCCCAAAGTGTTAGGATTACAGGCATAAGCCATCTCGCCCAGCCTAGGGATGACTTTTATAGTTATTTGTATGTTCTTAAGCACATTTATCCTTTCTCGATTTTTTGCATTTTTGATTAATTTTTTAGCCAGTTATACTGTGGTCTACATATAATATTGAAAAAATGTAGCAGTCTATAAATGTAAATGGAATCTTTATTCTATAGTGTTAAATTAAACCAAGGCTTCTTAACCTGGGCACAACTGACATTTGAGGCCAGATAACTCCTGTTCTAAGGGAGCTGTCCTGTGCACTGTAGGATTCTCAGCAGCATCCTTGGTCTTTACCTACTGGATGCCAGTAGCACTGCACCTCATTGTGACAACCAAAAATGTGTCCAAACATTACCCAACGTCCCCTAGAGGGGCACAACTGCACTACTTCCACCTCATAAGACCCACTGGGTTAATCTAATTGGCTCTGGTTGGTGGGTAAGATTATATTCTAGTGTGTTTGCCTGTATTTGCTAATGTTTCCATAATGGGAATTTTTTATTTAAAAAAAAAAAAAGGCATCAGAGGAAACAAAAGAAAATGTCAGTAGGTGAAAAAAGGACCCGAACTTGAAAATTTTCAGAAAGTACTTTTTAATTAAAAAAAAATTCGTCACCGACACCACAGACAATATTCTCTTCGCAGGTCTTCATGCAGGTTCTAACCCTAGGGCTCATAAAATCAAATTACTAGGTCAGGATCAGCATTTAAGAAAAGTAGAATAGAAATAGCAAGGGGAAAATCCTCAAAATTTTGAAGAACATAAAAAGAAAAAAGGCTCAAAAACACATAAAGCAAAATGATTACAACCTGAGAACCAGTGAGTAAGAACACTGGCCAAATTATTATTTTATTACTTTTTTGGGGGAGGGACAGACTCTCACTCTGTCACCCAGGCTGGAATGCAGTGGGACGATCTCGGCTCACTGTAGCCTCCGCCACCCGGGTTTTCAAGCCATTCTTGTGTCTCAACCCCCCAGGTTGCTGGGACCACAGGCGTGTGCCACCACACCCAGCTAATTTTTGTATTTTTGGTAGAGACAGGGTTTCGCTATGTTGGACGGTCTGGTCTCAAACTCCTGGCCTCAAGTGATCTGCCCAAATAGGCCTTCCAAAGAGCTGGGATTACAGGTGTGAGTCACTGCCTCCAGCCAAATTGTTTCTTAATAAATGTAAAATGAAAGGCAAGGTTTGTCCTCCCTTCTGCCCTTCTTTTCAAGCATTTCCATTTCAAGCATTAATGTAATCAAACCTCATTTATCCAGAATTTGTTCTAATAAGCCGTGATTAAGTTTACCTATAAAAAACTAAAGTATGCTAGCAATAAAAGACTATAGACTTGTTAACTTTAAACCCAATTTAAAAGAAAGAGTTAGGTTTGAGGGTTTTAACATGAACAGTAGTAATTACATAGGAATTATAGGAGTTTGTCTTATTTAAGTAAATTCTAAGAGGAATCGTATTACAATGCTTTTTGCTGTTAAAAGACATTATTGAATATATTTGGAAGCATCTCTTTTGTTAAAACAATTTAAGATATTCTTGAGTTTGACTCAAATGCCCAAATATTCTTTCTTTTTTTCCCTCCCTCCTCCTTCTTCTTCTCTCTCTCCTTCCCCCACCCCTTTCTCTTTCTGTTTCTTTCAGCAAGGTTTCATTCTGTTGCCACCCAGGCTGGTACATAGTGGAATGATCATGGCTCACTACAGCCTGGACCTCCTGGGCTCAATCTCAATCGATCCTCCCACCTCAGCCTCTCGAGTAGCTGGGACTACAGGCACACACCACCACACCCAGCTAGTCATTTTTTTTCACTTTTTGTAAGGATGGGGTTTCACCATCTTGCCCAGGCTGGTCTCGAACTTCTGGGCTCAAGTGATCCATCTGCCCCAGTCTCCCAAAGTGCTGGGATTGTAAGTGTGGGCCACCATGTTCAGCCCAAATATTCTTAATTATATCAACAGCTGACTTTTAAAAAACCCAAAACTTCATATTAAAAGATATGTTATTCAATACTTCAAAAAGTACTTATTAAAATAATTTTAAGTTATAAAAGCTTCATTTTTTGAAAGAAATCACTTGTCTCCTAAGATCCTTACCTTTCCATTTGTATGCAGTCCCACAGATTATTACTTTCACAAAAATATAGCATAGTGCTAAGATATATCATGCAGCCCCCAGCACTAAAACAAATCAGTTTTAGCAGCACTAATTCTCCATAGAGTACCACTTTCTAGATGAGGCAGATAAACAACTGTAAATCCAGTAAATCTATTCATAAAGTGGATCATCTCGAAGTAGAAGCAAATTCATGAGTATAATGCTTGCTTTTGGTATCTCACTTATTTTGCATTTCACAGATTACTTTAGTGAGAAAAAATACCAACAGCAAACAAAGCTCAAAAGAAAAAAAACCCCACAAATTTCAAAATGATGCTGTTAGTAAAGCACTAATCAACACCATCATGCATCAACCACTGAGCGTTAAAGCCCAAATGCCCAGTATTTAACTATTTGATCTTCACAGATCAAGCAAGGACTTAGAAATCATCTCACGTGCAACAGTCTTTGCATAGCACTCCATTTTATCCATGCCACAAAAATGGTAAATTTAGTAGTTACCAATAAATAAGTTGGGGATCAAAGGGGCTAAAGCCTTAGACTGGCTCTTTATTATAAGACATCCTCAGACAAACCTCCCCATTCTTCATTCTGGCTCTATAAAATTAAGGAGCAGAGAAAAACTGGTAAGTGCTTTACAAAAAAAAAAGGCCACGCTATTATTTCCTTTATCATTATATATGTGTGTGTTTAAATAAATCCAACTACATCACCATCCCCATCCCCCACCCTATACCTCCAAAAATCTAGCTCAAAATTGGTGGGGAAAAGTATTCCAAGTATTGGAAAGAATATCAATTTAGCAATTTCAGCATGTTGTTCTTCAATAATTTAAGAATCAACTTTAGTACCAGTGGCATGTTAAGACAGCCAAACATTAAAAAATGAATAATGGTCCAATTTCTGGGCTTTACCCAATATATAATTATGTATTCATACAACCAAACTCCAAAAGGAATAAACATGAAGTTGGTCTAAAAATGTCAAAACTAATCCTTTATTTACCAAATGATGAAGTAAAATAAAAAATATATCTTTATTATTTAATCACAATGTCTGCTGATATTTTAGCAACTATGATTTGAATACACATTAATGTTACATTTTTATTACTGACTGTAATATGCTAACAGAAAATCTGTATCCACTAACCATCTTCCCTATTTGGCTATAAAATGAAGGACTACCTTAAACTATGTGTTTATACAAACTGGGTAAGAGAAAATTTTTTAAATTTTTCTGAAGAAAATAAGCATTCTTAAAGATAGAAATGTATATTTCACAAATTTTTAAAAAATCAAAATCATTTTGAGATTTACATATACCTTTAAGCTAACAGATAGAAGTACATTATAAATTCAAAGTCATCTTTGCTGCTTAGAAATAATCAATTCAAGTAAAAGACCTGACACTAAATAGGAAAATCATGATACATGAAAAATTAGATTAAAATTGAACAATTAGGACTTCTACTACAAAAATAAGGCTGAATTTAGATCTTCACAGCTATATTTACAAGTGTGGAAGCAAAATCATTTCATGACATCGATTAAGTGAATGCTCTACCCCAAACTACAAGACTAAAAAAGTTATAAATCTAGGCATTTTGATAAATCCAACAAGAAATGGGTTGAAAATTATTATTTATATCTACAAAGCCAATAAAAAATTCCAACTACTGATAATCTGGACTATAAAAATTCCCAGTCTAAGAAGTCAAAGATGGCACTGTATTAGGAAATCTACTCTTTCCACACAGAAAAACTTCTGGGAGAATTATTGATTTCTCACTATATGACTGAGAAGCAAAGAAGTTGGTATCTTAAACGGAACATTTAAAATATATATACCAATACAATACATAACTGAGGCTGGGGGGAGTGCACAGTGGTTAAGATTTTACATAGCTGTGAAGAAATCTGGGTTTAGAATCCTGGTTTCATCAGTTGCTAACTGGGTGGCCTCAGACCAGTCATGGAACCTCACTGAGCTTCCACTTTCTCATAAGGATACCTCCAACCTTTCACAGGGTGTCTTGAGAATTAGCACAGGATGCTTAAAGCAAACTGCTGAGCCCAGGGCCTCATATACAAGCAGGCAAACTGCTGAGCCCAGGACCTCACATAGGAGCACTCAAGCATTAGTTACCATCATGATTATTTTTGTTGTCATGGTATCCAGAACAAAAAGTTTTCCAGCAGTTTGTGGAGTGCTTTTTCTCTTATTCCACTCACTATTTTATGAACATAATACTCAAATACCCTCCCACAGATGTACACTTGCATCATGCATCAAAAACATAAATGAATCTCTTTTTAGGAAACATGCATCTTGTCATTCCTGAATTTCTTCTCAGAATATATTGATGAAGAGAACAGAATAACCTGAAGCCTTACTCCTCCACACAGACTTGAGCTTGGCTCCATAATGGCCTTAATCTACAATGTATTCTCACTCTAAATTCGGAATGGACCACCACCTTCTGCTTCCCCAAGACCTAAATGGCTAAGAAAAATGGTTCACTCAGACTGCTAAATAGACAACGTCTCAATGTAGTACTCAGTTTCGTTTGTATATAAAGCAATGTAAAACTAGTCACAGAAGAGAAATAGGACCACAGCTTTCTTCTAAAGATAAGGAACTAATAAACAGTAGTCATTTATTTTAAACAAAGGTTATAAGGGGGTAAGGAAAATTTTACATGGGACCTCAATCATCCTATGCTTTTCTCCCTATGTTTACTTTCCCCAATTAAAGATCTAAAAATAGGCCAGGCACGGTGGCTCATGCCTGTAATCCCAGCATTTTGGGAGGCCGGGGTGGGTGGATCACCGGTCAGCAGTCTGAGACCAGCCTGGCCAACACGATGAAACCCCATCTCTACTGAAAATACAAAAATTAGCTGGGAGTGGTGGCTAATTTAGTGTACCTCTAGTCCCAGCTACTTGGGAGGCTGAGTCAGGAGGACTGCTTGAACCCAGGGGGCAGAGGTTGCAGTGAGCCAACATTTCGCCACTGCACTACAGCCTAGGTGACAAGAGCAAAACTCTGTCTCAAAAAAAAAGACATAAAAATAGTACTTCAAAAAAAGGGACAATATTAACTATTAAAATAATCCCATAGGGAAATATATATACATATGTACATATATACACACCCAAATAAATATGGATCTGCAATAATGTTATCCCCTAATACATTAAACACTCAATATATGTTCTAAGGTAAACTGAACACTGCTGTCATACTCTAAGGTCTATATCAATTTCCCAGTAGCATTTAAAAATCCAGGCATAGCTAGACACAGTGGCACATGCCTTTAATCCCAGCACTTTGGGAGGCCGAGGCGGGGCAGATCACTTGAGGTCAGGGTTCGAGACCAGCCTGACCAACATGATGAAACCCCACCTCTACTAAAAATTCAAAATTAGACAGGCATGGTGGCACATGCCTGCAATCCCGGATACTCAGGAGACTGAGGCAGGAGAATCGCTTCAGCTTGGGAGGCAGAGGTTGCAGTGAGCCAAGATTGTGCCATTGCACTCCAGCCTGTGTAACAAGAGCGAAAGTCCATCTCAAAAAAAAAAAAAAAAAAAATCCAGGCACAAAGAAATATCAATACCCTAACCATTACTCTCCAGGAAAAACATTAAAATTAAAAGTTGAACTTCAATAACTTTAAATACATTTTAAAGCAAATGTAATTAATTAGAAAATAATGAAAAACTTAGAAGAAATGCCAGGTTCTGATAGAGCAGAATATAGATCCATAACAAAATACGGAAGTGATCAAGGGAAGAGACATATATGAAGAATTTTAATACTGGTTTTGACCTAATTTTTTTAAAAGTCTGATTAGTGAACAGCAAAATAAGGAGATACTAAATTTAAAAACCAATTTTACAACAGTAGAGTGTATGCTTATAGTCAGCACACCTGATACTAAAAACAAACCTCCAATAACATTTCCAACCGATTGGTAAACCACCGTGACAAACTGTACACACAAGGCAAAGGGTCTGTGTTCATTTTACTACTGAGGAGTAGATGGCATCAGGGCTGCCAAGCTAATACTTAACTTTTGCAGGTACCTTAACAGCTCTTCTGATAACTACAAGATCATTAAGTGTACAATGCATTGTCTCACATTTAGTAGATGTCTATCCAGATGATGTCATCTGAACTTCAAGCAATTCCCACAACCCAACCAGTCAGTGACTGATGCAGTGGGATCCTTAAATAGCTTTCCCTTCCTCCCAGAGTCTAAAAGTTAGGAAGTTAAAATGGAGAAAGTAAGTTACTCTTCTTCCTTTATTTCATTCCCTTAAAACTGAATGCATCTAAGGCTAAAAACCGGGACTTAAAGTCTCCTCTGGTGACTAAAAAAAGACAAGAACAAACTGATAAATAAGTATGTAACAAAGAATGGGCTAAAATAGACTAGAAATACAAAATCATATTTTTAATGCTTTTGGAAAATGAACCAGTGAGCCAAAAATATTCAACTTTTTATATACATGCAACATATACTTAACAACTATTTTAGTGAAAACACATTTCATTTTTTAATATTTACTAATCACTTCTCATGCTGTAAGCTTTCCATATGATAAAAATCACAATTAGTTCTAAAGCATAGTTCAATTTGGTATCTGAATTATGGTATCAAATTTTTAGAAAAAGGTAACCTTATCTATGAAACGTTAAGCTTCAGAAATAGAAGGTACATCAGCATCAACTGTACGATTAACCCAGGATGACTATGGTAATTAGAAAGAAAAGGGAGTTACACATCTGGGGATATGAAGGTAAGACAAGAATGCAGTTTGACAGAACGTGGTTTGTTATTTAACAAGAGCAAAGAGAAATGCAAATACTATTTAGTTTTGCTAACAAAAAACGAGAAGGTTCTACAAAAAGTACAATTAGGAAACACTATCATTTGCTTGGCTACATTTGCATTTAATGGACATGAGGTAAAAATATGAACCAATTTGGAATGAAAATGTCACAATCTCACAGTCAACTCCTGATTATCCACACTAATGTAAAAGGAGGGGGTATCTTAAACAATTTGAAGCAATAGATGGAGGGGTTATCTTAAACAATTTGAAGCAATAGATGGAGGGATTATCTTAAACAATTTGAAGCAATAGATGGAGAGTTCTCAACTTACTGCTACTTTCAGCCAATCTTTTCCCTTCTTAAAGTAGTCTGTCCTCTAAAGGTTTAGACTCCAGTGTTTTAGGGTCCAAAAAAAGCCATCGGGAAGAGGCCTGACCGACAGACCATCTCCAAACTGAACCATCCATCCAGAGATAACTGAGTTGACGTGACTGACACATATTCCAGTGAATAAACTGCACATGGATGGACACTACATGCCAGCATGCTTCAGTGTACTTTCTGAAACTGTAAGAATGATGAATGAGACTTCCCAGCAAGAGCAAAGCATGCTAGTGCCTAGTGAAAAGAACAAGTAGCTTACCTCCTGCAGTAGATCGGCCTGCTCAATTGCTTTAAGGACATTTTTCTTGGATGTTTCCTGAACTTCCCCTCCCAAAAGAAACTCATCCAAAATAAAATAAGCCTTCTCAAAATTAAAGATGATATCTAGTTCACAGACCTGAAAAGAAAAAAAAGAAAAAACTGTTACAACTTATTTATTTTTTTATTTCATTTTATAAGAAAAAGAATAAAGAAGAGGAAGAAAGAGAAAGAGGAAGAGGGAGAGAGGGTGGGGGTATTGCTTTATTGCCCGGGCTAGAATGCAATCTAAATATGGGGATGCCTATAATTGTCCTTAATAATGGAGATATAAAAGAAAATGAGGGAAGAGAATAACAAACAAGGAGCCAACCAACATTTCGTTTAAACTTCTAAGTTGATATGATGTGGTACTGATAAGAGTGTATATTTTGTATATTTAAAGTGGAGAGTTCTATAAATGTTAATTACATTTACTTGTTCCAGATCTGAGTTCAAGTCCTGGATATCGTTGTTAATTTTCTGTCTCATTGATCTGTCTAAAATTAATGTTGAAGTCTCCCACTATTATTATGTGGGAGTCTAAGTCTCTTTATAAGTCTTGTATGTCTGCGTATTCATGTATTGGGTGCGTATATATTTAGGATCTTTAGCTCTTTTTGTTGTTGCATTGATCCTTTTATCATTATATAATGTCCTTCTTTGCTTCTTTTGATCTTTGTTGCTTAATTGTAACTTCTGCTTTTTATTTATTTATTTTAGCTCTCTGTTTGGTTGGTAAATCCTTCTCCATCCCTTGTTTTGAGTCTTTGTGTATCCTTGAATGTGAGATGGGTCTGGATGCAGCATACTGATGGGTTTTAGTTTTTTTATTCAAATTGCCTGTCTGTCTTTGGATTGGGAGATTTAGTCAATTTAAATTTAGAATTAATAATAATATATGTGAGTTTAATAAAAACTGTTACAACTTAAAGAAGCAAAAGATGCTTATTCACTACCAGATAGTGAATACAATCTGACCAGAGTGAATCAATCTTAATTCTTTCTAAAAATGACTAAGTATCACTGACTTCAGTAAACTTAATTTCCAAATCTCAAGTACTTGAAAACATATTCCTACAAGCTGAATAAGGCCGGACTCTGCATGCTCCCAATGAGGGTAACTTAATAATTTCTACTCACGAAAACTGATCTTTAAACATATATTTTCTGGGTAACATGATCAGAACTGCTAATCAAATCTAAATTCTATAATAGGTACTTCCAAGACATTAATGTTTGTAGTTGGACTTGTTTATATTTCACTATTTTAAACCTTATCCTCACCATCTTAATTAAATGAGTTAGGTCTATAGGGCCAGCAATTCTGAAAGTTAGAAACTGAATAGGCCCACTGATGAGAAACAGTCATTCCTGCCCTCTCCTGTGGTTAGAATCCCAAGACAACCAAATATTAAACTTGTTAGAAAAAAGGTTCTAAAAAATACTATAACATTCAATTTCCTAAAATAAAATACTACTCACACTGCCAAAATACTTGTCAAGTAATTCCACATAACGATGAATTATTTCCAGGGTAATTAGTTCATTGTCTTGATCCTCAATAGCACAGCAAAAATACAGACTAGCATATCTGTAACAAAGTACAAATGTGAAAAAAATTGTTACCCTGTAATCATGTTTTCTAAATATATTCTTGTATCCTATTATGAAAGACCCCAAGTTTATACAGCTTATTTCTTCTTTCACAACAGTACAGATTTTTCTCCTAGACTACAAAAATAATAAATGCATAAGAGAAATTTTGAAAAGCATAGGCAAGAAAAAAGAAAAAACAAAATAATCATACCACTTAGAATAAGTTATTTTGCCCCTCTTTCTTTCAGGTTCTTTTCTATAAACATTTTAAAGGACGGCAGACCCAGTTTTTTCCTAAGTTTACTTAATTAAAACAAAATATATAGCAGATTAATTCAAACTGTAAGTACAGGGAAGAAAACAAACCTTCCAACTGAAGGAGGACTTGTTGAAGGTACTGTCAAGGTGAGGTCAATATTTTGGGATATCTTATTGGAACATGTATAATATACACACAGAGAAGACCTTAAGTCCTAAAAGCTCAATGAATTTTCAGAGTGAACCCAACTACATACCAGCACCCAGATCAAGAGGCTGAACACTACTGAGCCCTGAAACTCCTCTGATACCCTCTCCCAGTCACAACTTCCCATCCCCAATGGTAACTATGCTCTTGACTTCTAACAGCATAGAATTGTTTTTAAAAAGTTTTCTAGGATTGTGAAATAAACCACAAGAAAAGAACAATAGCTTCATGTTATTACAGAAGTTAGAGAAAGAGAACAGAAAGTTCCTATCACTTAAGGGAAACTGAGACCTGTCCTCAAATTTTCCAAGTTCTACACTGTTGAACTGAAGGGTAGTTTATTTACCCTAGAAGAGGGAATAAGGTTGGGAAACTTATATTCTCCTTCAAATTATGATTCTAGCATATGGAACCAGGTTGTGCTTGACCCAAGGAAGCAAAACTGCAACCTTGAGGCATAGCAAGTCCTGTGAGGGGATTAAAAGGGCATTTTAAATGGTTTACATGGACTTAAGGCTTTTGAAAAGAAAGAAAATAAAAACCTAAGATATGCTAAACATAGAATATATCAGTTGAGATTGTAATTTTCACTGAAGATCACTTAAATGATTTTTAGAAAACACAATGGGCAGTTATTACTCGTAGCATTAATGTAAAATAATACTGCATACAGAATAACATGAACAACCTGTTTTGAGATTCAACGAATTCTTGCTCCTCAGTATGAAAATAACTGGTATTCACACAACAGCATTAATTTCAATATTATTAAAACCATTTCATCTTATCTGATGTTTTCAACAGCAAGTACTATCTTTCATCTTTGATTACAGATTTTAAAAAGACCAAAAAAAAAAAAAAAGAGGCCTAAGTGTACAGGGCCTACAAGTGCTAGTACTGAGATAAGAAACCTGATCTTTTGACCTTAACTCCAGGCCTTTTTCTACTGTATCATACAAACTCACTTGGGATATATATTATGACTTTGTGCATGTCTACTCTATCTGACTTCCACACTAAGTTATTTAAAATGGTGGGCCTTCTGCAGTCTTACTGAGAGGAGGTATTCATATGTGTTCATTTATCATCATTGCAAAGGGAGTAAGTCATGGAAGACAAAACAGGGCATCAATGTCAACTTTAACAAAGTGCTCCCTCTCTTTCCCATCACTACTCTGTTATTGTTTATCTACTTAAAAGAGAATGGAGTATTCTAACTCTCTATCCTCCCTAACCCATGCTCATTAAATAGAACTTTGAATTTGGGGAAACTGAAAAATGATACCTAAGATTCCCTGAATTAAGAAAACTAAAGAATAAAGTAACTGACATAAAAATGGTAGATTAAAAACCAGATATGACTAGCTGATAGCAACAGAATGCTAAAATAATGTATTATACAGAGGTTACTAACAGTTTCAAGTAAAATTCCTTTTATTCTTATTTAAGATTTCCTCAATGCTACTACTGAACAATCCAATGCTTGTACCATCCCTGCTCCTTATCCACAGTACTGCCTTTTCTTACAAATAAAAAGCACTTAAACACTAGTCAAAGTTCCTAAACTGCATGAATCACTTGGAAGCATTAATTTAAAAATCATCAGTAATGATGTGTCTAAGCCCCAGCCAATAATATTTAAACAAAAAACAATAAATACAAACCCCATAAGACTATCTAAATGTTTACTTTCACTCAGAATGGAAAAAGAATAATCAAATTAATGAATTTGTTGGTGTAGGTGAACAGATAGCTATCAGGATAATAATGTAGCTCTTTCCAGAAAGCTTAGGGAAGGAAGAAACAAGCATAATAATTAAGTACCATTCATTGAATCCTCACCCTACATGAGACACTAAATGTCAGCTAAGGCTTTTGGATACTTTACCATTCTAATCCTCGCAACAAAGGCATCCGTGAGATATCATTATTACTTGCATTGATAAGAGACCCAGGTTTGAGTAACTTGCCTAGGAACAGCAATTTGACTATAGAGCTCAAGTTTTACATTAAAAACTATAGCCAGCAATTGTATTAAAGTAATCCCATACCTGGCAAAAATTAAAATATGCTCAAAACAATATTTTAAGAGCTTTGAAGAAGAGAGAAATAAAAAATGCCATACTGATTTAGTAAAAGATTACCAAGAGAACCTGAAGTGTACTTCCTATATTTAGGACCAAATGGTTTTAAAAAAATTCAATAATAAGCTCATTTTGTTCTCTTAGTGCATATTTGTAAGTCTAAATCTGAAGTAAAATTAATAACAGACTACTAAGAAGAAAGGTATGCTTGGTTATTTTTAGTGCAGTGGATTAAGCTTACTCTAATTACTGGCACTCAGAGAACATCTGAAACTGCCTATTCTTATATTCAAAACACATGACTTCTTCGCAGTCAGCTAAATATCAGCTGACTGTGGGTGAATGTAGCTAAAGTATCCTCAATACCCACTGGTATGTCATTAAAAATTCTTTTGTTAGTAAAGAAAATCAGTAAGTATTCTTTAATAAATTCTCAAGCTAGTAATTTGGAGAGAGATATGTTTTTAAATTAATTTTAAAAGACCTTAATCCAGTGACTTTTCCACCAAATGCTACACAAAACAGGAATCAAAAAAGCATAGTATTCTGTCTTACAGGGATCTTTAAGAGCATTTATTTTAGAGATAAGGAAACAAAATGACTTGTTTAAAGTCATAAAACTAGCTAATGTTACAAAGGGAACAGAACTCAAGTCCCCAGATTTTTAGTCTGTCTTTTCAGGTAATATTAATTATCCTTATCCCTTTATCATTCCCCCTCAAAAGGGAGAATTTGTATGGCAAATAGGATGAAGAATGTGAGAAAATTTAACAAAAACACCAAAAAGCACTTGCTGGCATAAACAGCAAAAGTACTAGTCCAGAATTTCTCAGGAGCTAAGCAGTAATTCTCTTGCTTAAAAAGGTCTTCTATTCCAGTAGTAGGAAAAACAAATCACTTGTTTATACCAACAAAAAATATGTCTGTAAGTGGTATAGTAGGTGAGGTTTTTGGTATGAAATGGAAGGGGGGAGGCATAGAGAAAGAGAAGATAAATTCCACCTTTTGTATATGACTGATATCTCAATAAAGCAGTTAGTTTTTTAAGTCCACCTTTCATTTAAAGGGGTTTGATGTAAGTATCAGAGTTGGGTTAGATACCCTTTATAGCTTTTAAAAGAAAAAGTAGTGGCTCGACACAGACACACGGGCTGAGTGACATGTGCGTGAACACCAAGCAGTGCTTTCCTTTCTTCCCGGAACAGTCCATTCCTGGGACTGAATCCCTTGCTGGTATTTTCCTCCTCCACACGGGGGACTCCTTCCCCTATCTAGAAATAAGCTTAAGAATCTCACACCTTTTTTAAAAACCTTGTTCCCCACTTCTATGTCTATGAGCAGTTACCACCTCATCTCCTGTCCTTCACAGCAAAGTTTTCCAAAATAGTCTACACATGCTATTTAAATTTCTCCACCTCTTCACACTTCGCCCCATTACATCGAGAGTTCTAGCTCCACTATTCCACTGAAAATGTTCTGGCAAAGGGCATTATGTGAAATGCTCACTGTAAAATCTATCAGATTCCTTCTTCACTTTCATTGAACTTTATGAAACATCCGGCATTGGTGAAACTCTCTCCGTTTCCCTGACTTTACTGACCCAAGACTTACTCTCTTTGGTTCTCATTCCACTCTGAAGGTCTCTTCATCTCCTTTGCCTGCCATTTGAATGCTGATGATCTAATACTTTGTTTTATTCTCCCCAGACTTCCATACCTACGCCAACCACATCCCACCAGAAAATCAGGCTTCTCATAATGAAAGTCACATAGACATCCCCAAATCAACTTGCCCCAAAATGAGCTGAGTTCTCTAGCTCACCTTGTACTCCATTAGCAAACCAGAAATGTGGAGATCACCCCACTCCTCCCTTTCCTTTGCTGCTCTCTCCACTTTTTGTTGTTGTTGTTGAGGTTCTCACTCTGTTACCCAGGCTGGAGTGCAGTGGCGCAATCAGGGCTCACTGCAGCCCTGAACTCCCAGGCACAGTCAATCCTCCCACCTCAGCCTCTAGAGCAGCTAGGACTACAAATGCATGCCACCATACCCAGCTTTTCTTTTTCTTTTTCTTTCTTTTTTTTTTTTTGTAGAGACAGTGGGGTCTCACTAAGTTGCCAGGGCTGGACTTGAACTCCTGGGCTCAAGCAATTCTCCTGCCTTGGCCTCCCATGTTCTTCCCACTTCTAGAGGTGACCAAGTCTTATCAAACCTATCTCAATCACAGCCTTCCTTTCCAGTGCCTGGGTTCAGGACCTCATTATCAGGTAGTCTCCTACTGATCTTGCAGGTACCAGTCTTGGCCCCTCCTGCCTTCATCTATTGCCCTAGTTCAATCTTTTAAGATATGTAAACCTGATCTTTTTTCAGCCCTGTTTAAAATCTTTGCCTCCAAGCTTAAGATCTGAGTTGCAGCCCCATGTCAATCACTAACTGGCATACGGCCCTAGACAAGTCACTTCTCCCAAATTCGCATTCTTTATAAAACTAAAGTTTGATCAGCAATGGCAGTTTTCAAACCCAGGAACTGTCGCCTGTGCAGAGGGCCAAGGCCAAGTGAGCCAGGGTACAGGATCCTCCTTCCTGCTTTCACATGGAACAGCCTCACTTCCACTCATTTTATTTAAGTTTCTACCCATGGGGCAAAAAGCTTAAAACAAAGTCAAACAAAATCACCTGACTAGATTACTGTAAAACATCTCTCACCTCTCAAATGATATGATTTTTCTATGATCTTTAATAAGACCAAACCAGACACTGGATATAAAATCACCCAAAGATACAAAATCACCAAAGATCATTCAATAATAAACAGAAGTCCTCAATATTTAAAAAACTCTCTATGTCTTATAATCTCCATTTCTTCCTAGCCATCTCCCTGACAAAATACCCAATCCAGATTTGGAGTGCAATAAAAGGAAGCCCAGAAGAAAACCAGACTTCTGTCCCACCCTCATTGTATCCCATACTGTTAATTCCATGCATACTTCCCACACAAGACAACCTTTTATATGCAGAAATGCTCTTATGTTAAATTCAGTAAATTATTCAAAAGGAAACAAATGGGGAATAAAGTAAATGTCCCCTCAAAAAAATCTTCCGTAAAAGAAGACAGTTTATTTCTTTTAACCTACTTAAAACAATCTTGAGAAATTTATTTTATGTCATTTAGAGTTTCAGATATTTATAAAATAAAGATGTATAGCATTAAAAATTTTCAGTGTTAAAAGCCAATCTATGAGTCATTTTGTAACATCAAATTTTTTAAAAAATCTGTCAAAATTATCTGTCAGATTTAATCACACACCTACCACAGCAACAAGGGTACTTTAACAAACACTACTTACACACAGATCCTGTATATACACAAAGTTTTAAAAACATCTATGTGATTGAAATAGTCTACATATTCAAGGTATTTATACACAAGATTCTAAAAATCAGATAAAAGCATGTCAAATATCAGTTATTACATTATAGATTTTCAAGGAAAAGGGATTAGACTCTATGTGTACATGTCTAAATTAAGAGAATTATTCACACAAAATACTGACCCTACTTTCCCCTGTAATGAAATGAATTCATTAAACTCTTCTATAAAGATGATTAAGCATGAATAATCATTTGTGCCTTTAATTATGTAACTAGTTTTCAGATGATTCTCCTGCCTTTATCATTTCAGCCTCAGTAATCGATCAAAATACCAGTTATTTTAAAAACACAAAGCTTTATCTTAAACCTATTTCATCTAAATCTTTATTAATCATTATTTATAAATGTCATCACTCAAAAGTCTGCAATTTCCTAAATGACCTAACATTTGATTCTATTGCACCTTTCTGATAAATAAAAATTATACCTTTTGTAAACAATCTTCAGATCTCGCCACTCAAGAAAGCTGCACATTTTAGGTTTCCGTGCTAAAACGGTCTGAACAAGTTCTCTGGTGATCTTTTTCTTCTCTTTGTCTGATAGTGGGACATACCATTTTTGCAGTCGAAGCTTTCCCTGACGACTAAAAAGCAACATAAACTGCATCTGTTAAGATAAATAAAATCAAGATTACATGGCATACTTTGAATCAATAAACTTAAGATTATGTGTTTCAGAGAAGCTCTGGGGGATGGGGCATTTAAATGACAAATGATTGGTTGCCATCAATATTTCTATGCCAGTTAAAATAGCAAGAAATTCTTTTGAACAGATCTACTTCTAGATGCAAACTTTCCAGTCCCACCTTGTTCCTCATTACATTTGGAGGGGAGCGTGCAGGAGAAAAAAAGAAAAATAGGTAATAAGCTGATGTGAAATTTTGAATAAAAATAAAGATCACTCTTTCAATTTAAGAAACTATTTTCTACCTGTGCTATACATTGTGCAGTCTCTATATGCGTCAAAAGAGAATGGTAGATATCAATTGGTTTGACTTTTGAAAGAAACGGAAGACCTGCTATTTTTCACCCTGCGGCCGTTCTTGTTCCAGGCTGAATTACTTGTAGACAGTAGCTTGTATCTTGGAATGCTCTCCTCAGTTTGTGATGGCATATTTTAAGCAAAACAGAATGATCCAAAATATTAACCAAGAAATCCCATAAATACAAATTTTCCTGAACCAAAACATATGTTTTCATCTTACTTTTAAAACATTCCAACTTAAATATGTACAAAATCTAAAACTGAGTTAATGTAGTATTATGACAGAGAATACAAACGTTAAAAAGGCCATAATAAGATTTATACTTATTAAGATTTAGTATTGAGACATTATATGAAATACTTCATTTAAAACAAAAAATAGTATCTACAGATAGAGTGGATACTGAATTCTAATGTATTTTATACTTAAACTAATTTGTATGTATTTATTTGTAATCTGCAAATGTGTTAATTAGACTGCATGTTTCATTTTTAACGCCAAGGGTTTCTTATTTCAATTGGTCATCACAACTGCAAACAGAAGTATTGTTTCTACAAAGGTAATTTAAAGGCAGAATTTACATAGGTATCGTTTTTTTCTTTTAACCATTTTAAGTTCCCTTAACAGCATTACTGCAAGTAAGATTTAAGCCTGATTCTCAAGATTCATCACACCATCTTGAATTTGAAGACGGGGAGGGGAAATTTACACAACCAATGTAGAATAAAAATGGGCCCTAAATTTTGGTAAGATGATCGTCGCTCTTTTGTAACCAACCAAAAAGGTATCAACACGATATCCAGAAATTTATGATGTGGCAATTCAACTTCAGTAAAGTTAAAATGGTCTTATTACCTCACTTAAAATACGTCAGGGGCACAAAATATACGGACATTATTAGAAGATATCGAAGTGCCTCCCGAGCAAGTCCTGAAGATAGCGGCATTCGAAAGGGGCAGCAAGTGAAGCATCAACTGGACATTTACTGCAAACCCGTTACCAAAACTTGGAAAAGAATGAATCCCGTATTCCTAGATCTTAGCCACCACAAGGGGTGAGGGTTTGCTTGCGAAGAGTATGAGCTCAAGGCTGTTTGGAGCAGGGTCCTGTATCCGCCCTACCACTTTGCAGGACGAAAAAACAATGTATTCTCCTTAAAATAAATTACGTGCTAACATGGGACGAAACCCGGTTGCAAGGCTTGTATTCCTTCCCTCGTGTTAAAAACCAACGCTTTGATTTTGCCGAAAATCACACGGTACCACAATTCCTCGAGATTAGCATTAAAAACAATGGGCTCAGCCGCGGCGCGGGCTCGGGGCCAGCGTTCCACGGGTCCGGCCGTAGCCGTTGCCTCCCCCCAACCCCGTGGCCATACTCCATCACTGACCAAGCCCGGGCGAGGTGAAAGGCAAGGAGCGGAGCAGACAATGGCATCCGCCGCCGCGCAGGGGGCGCCAAGAGTCCTCGGCCGCCACCGCCCCCGGCCCTTCCCGAAAACGCCCGGCAAAACTTGAGGCGGTTCTCGAACCACAGGTGCCGCGGGGCTGTCGCGGAGTCTGGGACTGGCCCCAACATCCCTGGGCGCGGCGCGGAGTGGTGAGCAGGACGCGGATACCGAGAGAAGTGAGTTGCAGGCACTGCGACCCAGTGGCGGGCCGGGCGGGCGCGGGGTGGGGTCGTCGGGGTGCGCGCGGGGTGGCGGGGGGCGCGCCCAGCCCTCCCTCCCGCTCTCCATCCCCGGCGCCCCCGCCTGTTCCCAGGGACTTACGGCGGCCGCGGGCCGCGGGCGCGGCGGGGCTTGGCCGGCGGCGGCGGCTAAGGGGAAGCCCCTGTCGCCTTGCTGAGGAAGAGAAGCCGTGGTGCTGTGGGGAGGGGACCCGGCTGGCGGAGGGCAGGCTTAGGCAGAGAAGGGAGGGCGAGCCGACAGACCCCGCCCCGGGGGCCGGACGAGGGAGGAGCCGGGGCTGCGGTGAGTCGAGGGGCGGGTTAGGCGACGCGCGGGAAGCGGCTCAGCCGTCACCAACGGCACCGAAGGCAGCGCAGGCGACCGCTGAGTCCAAAGAAGCCGATTGGACGCTTCTTCGCCGAGAGGAGAGATGCGAACCGGAAGTCGGGCCACGTGACCCGGAAGCGGCGTCTGCCGGGCCCGCGCGCCCGCGCACTCCTGCCGGTGCCCCCCGGACGCGCGCGGGCTGCCGTCCTGGCTGTTTAATGAAAGGAGGACGGGATTCTGCGGCATCCTTAGCCTAGCCGGAGGTGCGAGGCAGAGAAGGTCCGGACAGCGGAGAGCCAAGTTCGAGCTCTGATGATTCTCAGTGTCCCCAGAGGGTGGGTCGGGGAGGTGTGACAGCTGACGAGGAGGGTGGGAGGAGTGAGGGAGTGCTGCAACTCTGGAAAAACAATTCAGCTCTTCTGTGGAACTAGTCACGCGTTCACGGGCCTTTTGCAATCATTCTGTTCCAAAATTGCCCAGAATCCAGGCTGTCCTTCCCATTGCATTGCTCCAGCCCTAGCCCAGACACCTTTCGCCCCGAGCTTCGCAGGGGTCTGTTCCCTGGGCTCGCCTCGCCCCTCCATGATGCTGCGGACTGGATGAGTTACCGTCCGTTCGGCTGAAAAGCCTGGACAGCACCTCACCTTCGAGATCCCGCTTCCTTCACAACCGGTCGCCCCACCAGCCGCCTGGGTTCCAGTTTAGCACTGCCGACGACTTGCTGTGCGTGGCATGTCCTTGCTCTCAAATGTTACATCTCCTGCGAAGCCTCACCCTAAAACCATTCACCCGCATGCCCGTTAGCCTTTATTTAGCACACCTTAAATTATATTCATTTTGCATCCCAACCTAGTTCACTGCCTGGTAAATATGAGTTGGCTGATAAGGACTATAAAACGATAAATTTGTTAAGAGCTGTAATGCTGAGCATAATGCCGGGGCATAATGGATGTTCATAATTTTCTGAATGATAGAATGGATGAATCATCTAGTCCTTTACAGATAAAGAAAGGGGAACCCCACGGGATTAGGTGACCTTCTTTGAACAAAAGCCACGGGTTTCCCATATCGAATGCTATTCATTATTACCCGAGTCACCTAGGTTCTTACAGAGGAAGCGAGAAAATTGCTTTTGTTGGGCCATGCCCCTTTTGGAGAGATTCCATAGTATAGTCGCCAGAATTTTTTAATGGCCTGAAGTAAAAAAAGAAATGCTAAGTTTTTCACGAAGCTAAATGTAATCAGTGTAAAGGGATCCTTTTTTAGTGATTATATTCTTTATGTGTGCATTATACTATCTATGAATCTAAGACAGTTTTTGGGGCATTTAAAAATCCCTTTGTATGGCAAAACAAAAAACGTGTAATAGCTCCCCTTTTCAATCACTACTATGCTGCTTGGAAAGTTTCCTACTAACATGTATGATTAACGTATACTGGAATATTGAAGGAAAGAGACGACACACGACACATAATTGACTTTCTTTAGTTCTTTAGGTCCCTTCGACCCCACCAGATTTCTCCTTGCTTCCTGCCCAGTCATGCCCCAAAGGTGCTTTCGAATGTCCCGTTTCTCTCTTACTACAAGAAACAGATGCCATTAGCCAGTTAAAAGATAGCTCGAATGCTACACAATGAAAATTCGCCCTCTGAATCCAAATGCTGCGTTTCTCTTTTTCTGTACAAAACACTTATATCCTTAAGGTTCCTGAGACAGCCACCTCCAAGTTTAAACTCTGGTTATGCTCCTAATGTTGCTCTGGCTGTGAAAATGAGGACGGGAGACTTGCTGATGACATATTGGCAGTCTCCTTTCCCTGCTCCTAGCCAAAAAAAGGTGGGGGTAGGGGTAGGGAGGGGAGGGAATTGTGGGAAAATAATTAGCAGCTGAAAGCAGCTATTACATAATCTTGGCTGCTTATTAATTTAGCAGAAGGAATGGCTTATTAAATTCTAATAGCAACAGCACAACTGCAAACAACCTAGCAATTAACAGTGCAGGGCCCATTATTTTGTTAATATGTTCTCTTCTTTTGGCAAGTGTATGAGAACAAAATTTATAGAAGCAGATGGTCTTTTTCAGTAGATTATAGATGGTTTATTCCCTTGTCTTAGTATTAAGTGCTAATTGTGCATTCACTGTGAAAGACAAAAGAAACATGGTTGCCATCTTTGTTAGTAATTAACTGCTTGACTTTGATTCCCACAATTTCCCAATTGTAGGCTTTGTTATATACATGTTTCTTCTCATCTAGTATCTTCTTCATCTGTCATGTCAACTGGTTGTCTTTTTAAATCCTCCGTTTTTGTTTTATGGTCCTGATTTATTGGTGTTAATGATACAAGAATTATACAAAATTCGTTTCATGAAAAATTAAAAATCAGATTTTATACTTGTTTCTTAAATTTGAAATAAAATACTTCACTGTCATTTATGCTAAATGTAAGAGGTGAGGGGAAAACAGAAATTTGTACCCTCTAACAATAAGATTTTGAGGCTTTTTATGTAATCTTTCCAAAGTTTTCAAAAATAATTTTAGTTCCTGTTAAATATGTGATGACTATATACTTTTATCCTCTCACTGTCTCAAAATACCATTGAATTTTTTAAAAGGGGGACTATTTAAAACACATACCCACGTGGAAGATAAGAGAGGGAAGGAACATTTACATGAGGATGTCAATAAGGATGTCAGGATACACTGTCAGCTCATCATTTGAACACTGATGATTTAAAGAAAAATTGTAATATATTGATATTATGGAGGAGCAGAAGTGAGGGGAGGTTGAAATAATGCTAAATCCTCAGGTGCTCAAGGGAGGAAAATAGATAACATCCAAAATAAATCACAAAATAGAATTACTAGCATATTCTTTAGATACCAGGAAGTAAATCCCAGAAGCAATTGTGAATTTCTTTCCGTGGACAGAATTTTGCAGTAGGATGTAATAAAGGGTATTATTACATTTTACTTAGATTTTTTTTCTTAAATAATTTTTTTTAAATATTGTAATGAAGTCGATAAAAACCATTCAGTTGCTAGCTCTGTATTATGGACTTATACGGAGTTCCTTTAGCCAGTCTATGGATTATTTAGAAGTTATCAAATAAAAATGCCCAATAATGGAATTCAGTGCTAAAGCTGTGTAGAAGATCACAGAAAGTGTAAAAAAGATGCTTAGAGTTTGTGAATTTGCATCTCCAAAGATAAAGTTGTTCCAGGGAGAAAAGTGGCCTAAAATAATGAGGATTTGTGAACCAAATCATTTCAAAATAGATAGAGCTGTCACTGCCAAAGTCCTCAACAATGAGCTAAAGAGAAATGTGGAACATATGCTCTTTCTCAAAGCCTGTTTCCATAGCTTTGAATAAAATGCAGGAAAATTACTACTCCCCTATTAACATTAGGTTAGAGCAGTGATTCTCAGCCTGGGCACTTTTGCCTCCCAGGGGACCCTTGTCAGTATCTGGAGACATTTTAGTTGTCACTACTAGGAGTAGTAGGTGATGCTGCCAGCATCTAGTGGGCAGAGACCAGGGATGCTGCCCAGCATCGTATCCTGCAATGTACAAGACAGATCCCATAACAAAGAATGATCCAGTGCCAGGTATCTGTAGTGCCAAGGTTGAGGAAGAAATCCTGAGTTGGTCACTGAGATTAACATGAAGTAGCATATATATATTTTTTTGATCTTCGACCTCTGATATCCTTTCTTATGCTTGGTCGAAGTAGCATGTTTTTATAGACATTTCAAGAAATGGAACAAACACTATCTTCATATAAGTTTCTCTCTCTTTCTCTCCACCCCCCCACCCCTTTCTTTCTCAGAGTTGGAGGCATTATTCTGAATATCTGCTAGATAAAATCATAAACTGCTGAAAAGACTGGCGGCATACATAAAGCAGTCAGTACTCTTTAATAACATCTATCCAAATTGGTTTTTAAAAAATAACCCCAGAATATTAGTAAAAGTTAGTTAAGCACTTGAATCCATGAGATGACTATTCCATACATACATACATTGTAAATGTTATGTATCTACTTTATGCTGGGCGCTCTGGAAGGTAATGAAGATTTAAAGACGCATAAGATATAGACTTGGTCCTAAAGCTCCATTTCTTCTGACACAGAATTTCAAGTCTTTTAGAGACAAACCCTGGGTGGTCAAAGGATAGTCACCAACCAAACGTATGAACATTTTCTTTTAGGAACCCCCTAGAGATGCTTCATAGAACCTTAGATTTCTGTAACTAACACCTTTGAAAACCACATGCTCTAATGACCTCCCAGGGCTCTTCGCAATATTTTCGTTTGGTGAATTTTTATGACACTTAATTCACAGCAATTAAGAAAGAGATTCTATATGTTTTAAACAAATGATTTCAAATAATGTCTTGATTTGGTCCTTGAAGTGAAATGCTTCGACAATGATCTAACTCAACTCCAAATCGCTAAACTAGTGGTTCTGGAATATTCTCTTAGAGGACAGGTTGCTAGACCTCATTTTCAGACTTTCTGATTCAGGAGGTCTGAGGTGAGGCCTGAGAATCGCTTTACTAACAAGTTGCCAGGTGATGCTGATGCTGCTGGTCTGGGAACCACAATTTGAAAACTATTGCTCTATACCAAAGAAAGCTATGATATCCAACTATAAAGTTGTGATATAATTTTCCCAGACTAATTGTCTAAAGGAAACTTGAGATCTGAATTTTTTTTAATCGCTGACCTCATTAAGCCTGAGAAGATTAGACAAGTAATATTCCCAGTTATATTCACCTGAAGCTAAATCTATATGTACAACTGAAAATGCCATATGGTCATTGTATGCCCTACACAAACTAATGCACTGTCATATTCTAAGGCAGAAATTGGAGTGCTTAGGGAAACTTGAAGGTTGCCTCATGAAAGTCAGATGCTTACTTGCTGAAAATCACTACCTTAAAAATATTTCCCAACTACTCATGGCAAGTAGGAATTACCTCTGAAATATTTTGTCAGCAACTAAAGACATGGGGTAGAAAGGAGGAGGTTGAGAGGGAATAGCTACACAGAATCAATGTGCCCTGGGTAAGGCAGAAACCAGAGACCCCTCTGT